AGTGACCCTGAAAGCACAAGCAATATCCATTCCATCTTGGAGGAAAGGTAGAAAAAGGCACAGCAAACCCCTTGGCTCTGCAGGGAACTTGTAGACCTCCTGCATCTAAAAAGAAAGATCTATAAAGGATGTAAGACTGGAATCACCACTAAGGAGGAGTATTCTGCACTGGTCCAGACCTGTAAGGAGCAAACCAGGAAAGCCAAGGCTGCGACCTAACTCCAACTGGATACATGTATCAACGACAATAAAAACAATCCTTTTTTAGATATGTGGGGAACTGGAAGAAAAGCAGGGATAACAATGGACCCCTGCTAAACAAAATGGGACAACGGAAAACCAACACCCAGGAAAAAGCCAACCTGCTTAACGAGTATTTTGCATCAGTTTTTCACCAGCCCAAAGGAACAGCCCTGATCAACATGGTATGAGAAGGCCAGGGTGAGAGAGAATTGTTATCCTACATCACTGTAGACCATGTAAAGGAACACCTTGAGAGACTGGACATCTTCAGGTGACCTGGCCTGGACAGTTTGCACTCCAGGATACTTAAGGAGCTGGCAGGCATCATAGGTCAGCCACAGGCACAGATCTTCGAGAACTTGTGGCACTCTGGTGAAGTGCCCAAAGACTGGAAGAATATCAATGTGGTACCTATCTTCAAGAAAGGGAGGAAAGTAGATCTGGGGAACTACAGGCCTATCAGCCTGTCCTCTATCCTGGGGAAGATCTTGGAAAAAATTATCAAAGACACCATTCTTGACAAACTGGCTGATGGCAACATCCTGAGGGACAGCCAGCATGGGCTTGTTGCGGATAGGTCTTGCCTGACCAATCTCATCTCCATTTATGACTAGGTGACATAGCACCTGGACAAGGGAGAGGAGATTGATATTGTAGCATTTTTAGCATTTGGTTAAACTTTTTTCTTAGTATAGTTGAATCTAGCACAAATGTAATAATTTGATTCCTGTCTTTTAAAAGGTAGCTGCTTGACTATATTCTATGATGCTTCCAGCTTGACACAAATGAATGAACTTTGTAAGCCCTGGGCATGAGAGAGATATGGGCAAGGGGTGAGTGAAGAGTGAATGGGAGTTTGCATGAGAAAAGGAGAGAGGATGTAATTGTTTTTGTAAGCAATAAGGCGCCATAGGTGTAAACCACCAGCCAGCAACCTACTAACAAAGGCTCAAGAATCCCTTTGAACCTTGAGGGCACAAAGGAGATAACCGAAGCAGAAATGCTGCCATGTGGGCAACAAGAAAACTTCAAGGCTGAAACCCATCTTTTACAACTGTAGTGACCTCAACGTGAGATAAGGAAAAGACTGATGCAGAGCAGCTGCTAGAAACACAAACTAAACATGGAAAAACCCCAAGAAGTAAAACAGAGACTGAAAACCATATATAAGGAGAACACAAACGATGCCAAGTTGGATGAGAAATCTTCTGTCTTCTTTCCGGAGCACAGGCGCACCTGCTTCTCACCTCACTCCAGCTCACCACCATCATCAGTTACAACATCTCAGCTACTCAGTGAACATGGAGTCGGCCACCCTGTGTTAACATGGAGCAACTATTGCTGGGAACTATATCTGGTGTCTGTCCGTATGCATCGAATGGTTGTTTTGTGTGTATGTCAGTCTGTGTGAGATAATGTGCATGGTGTTTTCTGTGTGTTTGTATGGATAGTGTATCAGAACCTCTGTGTCTAACTCATGTAATCAATAAAAGTGGCATTCTGCCTTATCCCCCTTTATAAAGTCTTGTTCATGATTTGAGCAATTGGCAATTTGTGTAGCAACATCATATATCTTGACTTTAAAAAAGCTTTTGATCTGGTGTCCCATGATCTCCTCATGGAAAAAATTGGCCAATTGCGGCCTTGGCTACATCATAGTTTGGTGGCTGGGGAATTGGCTCCGAGGTTGGACCCAAAGAGTGGTAATCAATGGAAGAAAATTATCGTGGTGTGCCGTGACTAGTGGGGTCCCACAGGGCTCTGTCCTTGGGCCTATGCTCTTTAATATTTTTATTCATGATGTAAACATTGGTGTCAGAAGTGGACTGGCCAAGTTTGCCGATGACACCAAACTTTGGAGTAAAGCATCCACATCAGAGGATTGGCTGGTGATCCAGGCTGACCTCAACAGGTTTAGAAAATGGGCGGATGAAAACCTGATGACATTCAACACTAAAAAATGCAAGGTTCTCCACCTTGCAATTCTCCACCTTGCAATTCAAAAAAAAACCCCACAGCATGCTTATAGACTCAGCAGTGCAATGCACCTTGGCTGAAAGAGACTTTGGGGTCATGGCTGATCACAAGATGAATATGAGCCACCAATGCGATGTCACAGCTGGTAAAGCAAGCCAAACTCTGGTTTGTATCCATAGATGCTTCTTAAGCAAATCCCAGGATGTCATCCTCCTGCTGCACTCGGCTTTGGTGAGGCTGCAGCTAGAGTACTGCATCCAATTCTGGGCTCCACAATTTAAAAAGGATGTCGAAATGCTTGAGAGAGTCCAGAGGAGAGCCATGTGCATGATCAGAGGGCAGGAGAACAGACCTTATGATGAGAGGCTGAGACCCATGGGACTCTTCAGCCTGGAAAAGTGCAGGCTCAGGAAGGCTCAAGGGGGGTACATCAGGACCTGGGTGAACGCCTGTTCACCAGAGCACCCCAAGGGATGACAAGGTCAAATGGTCACAACTCCTCCAAGTCAATTTCAGTCTGGACATAAGGAAAATTTTATTTACTGTCTGAGCCCTCAAGGCCTGGAATAGACTGCCTCCAGAGATGGTGCAAGCACTTACTCTGGACTCTTTTAAGAAACATTTGGATGCCTATCTTGCTGGGATCCTTTGACCCTAACTGACTTCCTGCCCCTGGGGCAGAGGGCTGGACTTGATGATCTTCCAAGGTCCCTTCCAGCACTAATATCTATGAAATCTATGAGTTTTAGTTTGCTGTGCCCCAAGTTATTTAAGGTGCATTATGCCACTGAATTTCCTACAGTGGCTGGAATTAATGTGCAATACACCACTGAGGTCTGCAAACACCAACACCATTAAAGTGGTGCAAAAGCATTTAACCCGCTTTAAAGTGTTGTGCACACATGCCCCTTGTTTTGTCTACACGTGGCCATTGACAGCTGAACTGGTGGAATATGGGAAAGACATTGTTTTGCAAAAAATCATTTAAATTCAAAACAGTTGTTCAGTTAGAGCTCACTTTTATCCCTTATTATTTACTACTTGTGAGCATTCAGGCAAATGATACTTTATTGGCAGAAATGTTTGGGGAATAGCTGTTCTTGTATTCACATGTGCACAAATGCATGTAAGCATGAAGAAAAGTACTCACGAGTCATCATTTCCCATTGTAAAGGTCTCAGTCATCCAATGAGGGAGCAGATATAATGCCATATGACCTACATGACTAATTGAACAGTATGGAAGAAATAGAGGTAAACAGCTCATGGACAATCCATTGACTGAAAATTCTGTGTAATCAATATTGGCAAATACTTGCACATCATTAATATATTCACAAAAATCATGGTTTGTTAGCTAGCTTCTCAGCTGCTACAAATCAAAATTTCTTAGGACGATATCTTTCATTGGACCAACTATGTAATGGGAATAAAGTTAGACAAGCATTTGTAAGAAGTGAGGCATCTTCCTCAGTTCTTTGATTATAGAAAGCTAGGCACAGTGAGTGAAGCACAGCATAGACATATCCCCACAAACAGGCATGTGCAGGTTATGGAGCCTCAAGCTGCATGTGGTTCATGTGTACTGGTATGCCTCTAATTTGTAGCATGGTGAGGTTTTTTTGACACAAGGAGATCCCAGTGTCAAAAAAAACTGCTGTGTAAAAAAGCAGCATGGCACATGCAGTAGAAGCATGAGCTGCAAGAAACAAGAGCCTGGCCAGCCAGAACCATGCTCTGGCTGCCAACCAGAATCCAAATAGCCACCTTAGTACTGCTGCTACCCCAGAAAGCCCCCAGGTCCCCAGATAAGGCTGCTGGGACCAGCACAGGTGCTGGCCCCAGCCTCGCCTACCCCACCTGGGTCTCTTTGCCATGCACTGGAGCGTGCACATAGGGGCATGCCCAGAGTAAAATAACAGAGGTACTATGCGTGCTGTTTTTGTCCCACAGGAAATGCAGGCCCCTGCATGTGCACGCTCATGGGGATGCTCTCACTACAGGCAGGGGCAGAAAGAAATTGTCAGATGTAGCAGACACACAATTTCTCCCAGCTCCTCCCCTATGCGGTGCTTTACTTGCTGTGCCTACCTTTCTATACTCAGAGACCTGAGGAAAACTGGTTTACATTTGAAAGCTTGTCTAACTTTATCCCAACTATATAGTTGGTCCAATAAATAATATCATCCTAAGAAATCCTTGCCTCTCACATAATTTCTGGACTGTCATAGCTACAACATCACTCCTACGCTACAGCAAATCAGAATAGTAGCATAGGCAGAAAGGACAATAGTATATCGTGTCACAGAGACATAACAGTTGTCTGATCTTTGACAAAATCCTCAAGCTTATTGCTAGGACGTGTGTTCTCAGCACATTGGAGAAGCTTCCTTTCCTACTGCACTCATAATCTCTGTTACTTTTATTTAGTTATCACTAATGTATAGCATGGGTATAGTAATAATTGATGTGCATAAAAAGAAAAACTACCCAAGCAGAAAGCAGAGACCATTTTCAGAAGCGGAAGGCAGAGAAATCTTTGTCAAAACTCTAACAGTCCACAGAAAGCTGTAAACTAAAGCCCGGTTTTTAACTGCACAAGACCAGGCTCTTCACATAACTTAGTGAGGACACCATAATTTGAAAACAAATAAAATCACAGAAACAATGCTGACTATTTAACAAATATTGAGATAACACACCAGACAAGGCTTAACTAAATGACTAGTGCCCTTCATTGGGCCATACGTGGTCAATACCAACAGAAGTGAAAGCACTAACCTTGCTAGCAGAAAATGATCATGCGCAAGACCCTATGACACTTCACCTTGCAGCTCTATAGACTTGTGGAAGTCAGAAAAATTTTATTAATTCAGAAGGCCTTAATCTCACCACCATAGACATACTTGTCCAGAGGATGAACACCTGGCAAAGGGAGAAGAAGAAAATATCTCTAAATATTAACTTCAATGGAAAGCTAGAACATAGTGAGGATAAAATAGTATCAATGGCAAAGCCAAGACTAAAGATTTTTTAAATGCCAAGTATAGACCCCTGATTACAGCCTCACAGCACTGCTATAATATGAATAAAAATAATCCTAATAACATAATATAGGCTGCATCTACACGTTGCTCGATGGTGACATAGGGATGCTGAACATCATCATATGGTACACTACGGCAATGTAGCAATCACATGGGTCGACATGTGATCATCAGCTGCGTTGCTGTAGTGGTGTGCTCTCCCAAAGCAGTGCGCCACTACATTGACATAGCAGCAAAATCTAACCATACGCCACATGGCATGGCGCTGTAGCAAAGTTGCCATATGGCGATGTGTAGATGCGGCCACAGATTTCAAAACCTTTTACACATTCAGGTACCAAAATACATTTTGTATCTCCTGGGATAAAGTCATTAAAAGAGGACATTAGGATTACAGCCCAGTGGCTGCAAAGAGAATTGGTAATGTTAATCTATCCTCATTACATTATTGCTATAATAGTGTATTCATGGGGACTGTGGGGCAATTTTTACTTTTGATACATTCTTTTTCAAGATAACAAAATACTATATCAGAATGCAAAGAAGGCACTGCATATAGCAATATACTATGCAATTTTTTCTTTTGATTGTCTATATTTTATTTTAAGTACAAATAACATGTCAAGCTAGCTGTTGCTGCTGCTGGAAACTAAGACCACTGACTGAGAACTTTTCAGATATGCAGATGGCAGTTTTCATACTGATCTTATACACTATTCACTTGTTTCATTTATTAATTATTTACTGACAGTATTTGCATTATTTTATTCATATTTTCATACTGGATTTTATCCAAAATGTTAATTCATGACAAAAATATATTCTCCCGTTTTGTGTCAGTTCACACACCCATGTTATCAGACCTGCAGACTTTGACCCTGAAAAGCAGTAGATAGAACTTACCTGTGATCTACCTACATACTTACTAGTTATCCAGAACTCAAGGTCTTTGTTAACTCATTAAAAAGAACCCTTATGGTTCCAAGGATCTGTATGCAGTGTAGCAATTTAAGGGGCTAATCCTTCAGATTGTATATGTAGGTGAGTGTCATTGACTTCAACTATTCCATCATTGCTAATATCAATACTGGCATAAATAATAATATTCATGAAGTGTTTATAGAATATCTTTCTCAGATAGTAAATCCAACAGTATTCTACACGGTAACATAAGGAAGTTTGAGTAAATCACTGACTGGAGCATTCCAGTGCATTGTTTTTGGTAATGAGTGGCTTCACTAGCTTGAAAACTAATTTATTTTAATAAATAAATATTCAGATGTATACTGGAACACCTACAAAATCACCACATATTTTGAGGTTTTACCCAAAGCAACAACTTTCAAAGTGAAATTCCAGGGACCTCCCCTGTAATGATGATTCCTAAAGTGCTCTTTTTCAAAGGAAATTTTTCGTAGTCCTTTATTCTCCTTAAATTGTTTCCAATAGTTTTTCACAAGTATAAGTGATTGTAAATCAGCTTGTCATTTTGTCAACGACACAGATGAAATAGAATCTGTAGCTCTGATTCTTTGCTGTGTTAGCTCTGAAGTGCTAACAGGAGTAAAAAGGATTAATAGATCACTTTTGTCACTAAGTCAGCAGATATTTATGCCCAAGGGACCGGAGACTCAATAAAAATACTGCTGGTTCCTGGTCTGGCATCTCCTGGTTGAATGGTTGTATGGTCTGAAATGTAACTGAATTGCTGAATATGTTTGATACTGATTTAATTCCAGGAGCAGGCAAAATGTAAGCCAAGTTGAGCCTCCCTAAATGTTTTAATTTGAATTTTCCCTTTAATAAAACTGTATCACTCTGGTTCATAGTCTTTTACTTAATCTTGGATAAGAATAATGAGAGACATTTTACTCTGAACACTCAAATTTGACCTTTGGATTGGTGAATCTGCCTATGGGAGTGACGTGTGGTTTTGTAGAACATTTCAGTCTACACATTTCCTTAGAAGATTTTTGTAAACATACTGCTTTATCTGGATATTCATTGTTTAAATGAGATGTGCTCAGATCCCTGAGTGTTGATATAGCAACGATTGTCTGATGCTTATTTGCATTTCATCTATGCGTCTGTTGTCTCTTTCAGAAGCAGCTTACCTTTTCATTATATATGAATACAACACAGTGTTTTTTTCCTTGAGAATTCACCAATATGAACTCATGTGAACTTATGCAAAAAAACCCACAATTTTGGTAAACACATCTTGTTTTCAGTTGTAATGTGATTAAATTCAGTCATGAAAAAACTAGGTTTGTTACAAATAAAGGACCCAATTCTTCCATTATTTAAAAAATGAGCAACACCACCAAACTTGCGTTGTAGTTCAAATGGAATGTATTTTCCTGAAAATTTATTTGCCTGAATCCATGTCACTAGATTATACTAAAATTCATATTCTAGCATATGTGATGGGAAAGGTTTTTGGCTTAGTGTGCTGGCATGTAGTAAAGCTTGAAGTGTTCTAAATAAGTGAATAAGACACTTCATCCCATCCAAGATGCCTGATGCCTGGTTTATTCTCAAGTTGCTTCAAGTAATGATGCTGATTTTTCTTTCTTTCTTGACACTGTCTTATAAATGAACTTTGATAGCATACACAATGGAGAAAACTCCTTTTAAGTCATTTGAGCAATCCTATCAAATGGATTGAAGATGTTTTCCCCTGAGGAACAAATAATGTTCCAGGAGGAAAGCAAATAATGTTTCATTTCTACAGAAAAGTGGAAATCACCATGCTACATAAGATAATATTTTAAATTATTTGGAACTGTAAAAGAAGAAAACACTATTACTATATGGCAATAATGAATATGACCAAAAAAAAAAATCAAGGGCTATTTACACTGACATTTGTTTGATGGAGAGTTTTTTTCCAGTTTTCTTGTCATTCAGTGTTTCCTTTCAGTTATTGCTGTTAACAAAAGTCCAGGTTATTCATGCCAATTATTTTGCCTGAAAAAATTAAATAAGCAGTTTACAGAGAATAATGAAATAGTTTGACCTGATCTTTGCTGAACTTCAGGGCCTACAAACCTGAACCGCAGCCAACAAACAACTTGAATTCCTCCTCTGACCTATATTTATCTATCGGTATTTAACCTCTGCTCTGACCTGTATTTATCTATCTGATCTGTGTGTATCTATCAAACTAAATAGATAGATACATTTCCTGGATCCATGTAGTATAACATGATATAGGTAAATGATAAACATGAATGGCTATAACTTAAAAATATTGTGACTTTAAAAAGTGCTCTATTCATAGATGGAGAAATAAGCAGTGATTAATTCCATGTGTTATCCAGAGTTACACATCAAATCAGTAACAGAAATTTGAGATGAATCTAGGTCTTCAGGGTCTCAGTCTATGGCCTGTATAAATGCCTTGTACAGATAAAGATGTATGATACTTGTGCACATCCTCTTTTGGAGTGTTGCTATGAAAATATTTTCTCCTCATCTTCCTGTACTAGCTATTATTGAATAATCCCTGTGTTGTGCATAAGTAACTGTATCACTGTGCATAAGTAACTGCATCACTGGTAATAATAAAAAGGCACAGCTCCCTTAATTTTCTACAAACATATTTCTGGTGACCTGTAGCAAAATGCAAACAAATAAAAATACTGTTGTGCTCCATGCTAAAGTTTTCATCAAAAAGCGCTGATCTCTGTCTATATTTTATGCTTCCTTTCATGAAGTCATTACCTACAATACCTGGGATTTATTACCTTTGGAATAATATTTTTTCCCTCATACAAGTATCTAAAAAGTACTGGCTGTACACTGCAGTCAGTGTGAGAGATACAGAATCATGTTTTTGTAATACCTTTATGTAATAAGATTACACTGTTATTCAGATTAACCTTTTAACAGTGGTGGGCTGCTGCTTGTAACCTGGTCAGCATTGTGGGCTACTGATTCCTGCTTCCTTACCCAGTCCTGCCTGGTGTGCCACCAACAGAGGCAGTATAGGGGTCATGTCCCAGTAGTCCTGGTCCCCTCATCAGCCTCATGCTCCTTCCTCTGCCCCCCTTCCCCCCATGATACAGATGTCGCTGTTGTGGGAGAAGGTGCCAGCCACCTAGTTGGATTCAGGGTAGGGATGTGCAAATCTTCAGTCGCCGAGTCGATTGTGAGAAGACTTGGCCCGATTCAGAGGCCGAATCATTGAATCTGAATCAAATTGGGAGACCAAAAAAAAAATCTCTGAATTGATTCATAGCCTCCGAATCGATTCAGAAAAGATTCAGAAAAAGATTTGGAGATTCAGAGACTCAAAAGGCAGTCTTTCAGGGGAACAGACATGAGAAGAGGGAGGGATAGTAGGGAGGAAAAAACTGATATCTGTAGCTGGCCAGTAACTGTGATCTTTCCCTGAGTCTCTTTCCAATCACAGTGTCTGGGGAAGGGACGTAGAAACAGCACATAAGTCTCTGTCTGCAACCTTTCTGTGCCTTTTGTGACCTGTTGCTGCCTGAGCACCAGGAAGACCCCCTGTTACAGGCTACCATCCCTGCTGGTTTCATCCCACTGTGCCTTAACACACACACAAATTCATGTCACAAGTTTTGCTTGTCAGCACCTTGAGGATACCATCCTTGCTGTTTTCATCCACATCTGCCTTAACACAAATGCTTGACATGAGTTGTGCTTTCAGTAGTTTGAGGTGCAGTTTCCCAGAAACTCCTGTACCTACCTCCTTGAAACTTCGCAGACTTCATGCCCTCAGAAGGGGCTACCATCCCTGCTGCTTTCATCTAATTTTGGAAAAATATGACAAGTCTATAGGTGTTTCAGTGATTCCCCATTATAATCTATGGCCCAATCTCTGAATCTCTCCGAATC